GGCCAAAGTCATCTCCGACCCTTCAAAGTTGTCCTCATTATTCATTTAGACACCTCAACTACACCTAGTACCTATTGAACACCTCTACCACCCCAGATTTGAACCGTCTAAACATTTTTTTTATCACTTTTAATAAGTTGTGTGGCGCGTGTATTTAAGCTCCCCACGTGTATCCGACGTGTATAGAATGACCATTTAACAACTACCACGTGTATCCGACGTGTATTTGTAAATGTCTTAATTGGGGAAGATTCCTAAATCGTTAAAATTTACAGAACACTTCTCTCTCTCTCTCTCTCTCTTCGCGATTTCTTCCAAATTGAAGCTCTCCATCTTCGCGATTTCCTCCAGATTGAAGTCGGATTCGTCTTGTCCGTGTTACAATCTTGAAGATTTCCTTGTGTAAGTTAGGATTGTTAATGATTTTTACATGTTTTGTTAAATGAATTCCAAAAGGCTAGGGTTTTGTAAAATATAGGGTTTGTGATTTTTGCGAATATTTTGTCCCTTCTTTACTATTACCCAGAAAATATGCTTTAAAGCTTTGTTTTTTAGTTGTTGTGTGGGTTATATGAGTATATTCCGTTATCTTAAGCTAGGGTTTGTTTGATATTTTGTAGGGCTAACAATTGACCATGGAGGAGATTATATTTACAAAGATTTACCATGGTGGAATCTTATCCGAGATATTTGTCCCTACTTATGTTGGAAATTGTGTGTCTACACTCAGGTATATTATTAAGGACCACTTTTCCATTTTGGAACTATTGTATTATACTAAAGAATTGGGGTATGAAACTGTTGGAGGCTTTTATGTGAAGGATTTATTGAATAAAAAATGGGTCCTAATTACAACTGACCAACATCTCCTATACCTAATTAAAGACTTAAAACATGAGGACACTTTTGAAGTATTTGTCTGTCATGTATTAGATGAACCCTTACTTGACACTGAGGGACCTAGAGGCTATCTAACTAATGTTAGTGGTGAAGGTGTTGATGTTGACCTTGGTGAAGGGGGTAAGGCTGTTAACTTAAGTGGAGAAGGTGAGGTTGTTGACCTAAGTGGAGAAGGTGAGGCTGTTAACCTTGGTGGTGAGGGTGTTGATGTTAACATTGGTGAAGAGGGTGTGGATAATAACCTAGATGGAGAGGGTGTGGATGATAACCTAGGTGGAGAAGGTGAATATGATTTCTTGAGTAGTGATTCAGATCTAGATATACCTTCAGAAGATGGTTCAGATATTGATGAGGAGTTGAGAGCTTTTAGACAAGAAAAAAGAAACAAAAAAACAGAGAAAAAAGGCTACTGAATTTGAAGAAATACCAGTTGGAGAGGCTGGTGGTATAGATAGAGGCTTTGAGGATATTGGGAAAAATAAAACTGACAAATATGCAGGAAAATTAGGTGGAGATGAAGATTATATTGATAGCTCTGACTGTTGGAGTGATGATAGTGGTGAACAACTAGATGTGGATGTTGTTAGGGGAGTAGATATACCTGCTAGAAGGAGAAGCAAAAAAGTTAGGTATGATGAAGATTGTGAAGTTTCAATATTTTAGCTTGGAATGGTCTTTGAGGGTGTAAATCAGTTCAGGAAAGCAGTGGCAGATTATGCTGTAGAGTACAGGAGGCAGATAAAGTTAAGACCTACTGAAAAACATAGAGTGAGGGTGAAGTGCAAAAATGCTAACTGTAAATGGTTGTTATATGCTTCCATTGACAGGGACTCAGGTGATTTCATTGTGAAGAACTATCATCCTGTTCACAAGTGTATTCCATTAAACAGGAACAAGTTGTGTAATTCAAAGTTAATTGCTGGAAAATTTAAGGACATAATTGTATCTCAACCACACATAAGGATTTGGGAAATTCAAGATTTGGTTAGAAAGACATTGGGTCTTTATTGTAACACCCTGTATCCGAAAATAGACCAGATTGCAGATTTCTGGTGTTACAGGTGGCACTCACGGGCACCATCCATGGACCGTTGGAGGACCCACGATCTGTCCTGCAGGTCCGTGTTTCCTGTCAGCAACTCCCCCAAAACTCAGCCAGAAATTCGGCTAAGTGTTGACCCACGGCCGGACCTACGGTCCGTAGGTCAGGTCACGGACCGTGGTTCATGTCCGTAGATCGATGCCCCTAAAGCCCAACTTCAGTCCCGATTAACGGTTGACCAGCACGGACCGTCATTCGATCCACGGTCCATAGGTCAAACCGTAGGTGAGGGTTAGCAGCCAGTTAGATGAAAATTGTGATTGGGTCAACTTCATATGGTCATAACTCTTAGCACAAAAGGAATTATGTGTCCCATAACCTATGGTAAGATAGATAATTGAATCCTCATTCCAACTCCGCTGAGTTTGCTAAAATCCGACCTCCGAGTGAAAAGTTATACCCATTTTAGTGAAGCCCTGTCGGGCAGACTCGACCTACGGATCCAATCAATGGACCGTTGACGGACCGTCGATTGAATGACGGCCCGTCAGTCCAGTTCGTCAGTCACTCCGACAGCAATTAAGTCAGGGGTCTTTTGGTCTTTTCCTATTTCGTTTAACCCCTAAGATACGTCGTTTAGACCCTAAATCATGAGGTTTTAGTCAGTTTAAGCCTAGAAACATAACTAGAACTTACCTAAGTCAAATCATTAATCAAACTTAGAAAAATTAGAGCGTAAGAGAAGAAGAGAGGTCAAGAACCCTAGTTCAAAAATGCAGCAAGGTTCCATCAGTTCCAGCCCTGAAATCAAAAAATTTCTCTGTGGAATTCGTCACCAGGTATGTGGGATTTCACTAGTGGGTTCCTTTCGCCCATTAGGTCCCTAGAATTCAGTCAGATTCTTGATTCCATGATTATGAACAGACCTAGGGTTTCTAGAATTTGAACAGATCATCATGAATTAGTTATTTAAATGTTCCAAATCAGATTATCATGTTATTGCTCAGTTTATCACATGAATTTCAGAACCCTAGCTATGTATTTCTTTAGTTCTTGAATTACACATGCTAGGTCAGATATTTCAATATTCAGTTATACATGCCTCAGTTTATGAATGCATCATTATCAGATTAATTGTTGCATTCTCAGTTTGCATGTTCAGTTCGAGCTATCCAGTAACTTACAGAAATTCAGTCATAATGTATTAATTACTTAATCCATTGGGAGTAGCATAATACCGAGTTGGACTAGGGTTCAGCGTACCCATATAGTCCCAGAACTATGAGCCACGTAAGTGTAAGTGTCACGACCCGATTTCTTAAGTCATGATGGCACCTACTATAACCCACCAGTAGTTAAGCCAACCCGTAACCTGGAACAACAAGTAATGGGTCTGAGGGTAGAAACTAAACAAGAGTAGGCAAATAACAATATAAATAGGCGGAAGCAAACCAAAAACATATATACAAATAAAGATCCCTCTCAGAACCTGGAAGTCACTAGTACAGAGCTACTAACAAAATGAGTACAAGTCCCAAAAGTGGACAACAGAGACTGGACTGTCTCGAAAGGAAAAAGACAAGTCTATATATACAGATGGAGACTGAAATAGTACAAAACGTCGTGTGCTCACCCCGTCTCCGAATTAGACTGCTCCAAGCTCGATCAACGTTGGCTACTAGTGCCCGGACCTGCATCACGAAACAGATGCAGAGTGTAGCATGAGTACCAAAACAACCGGTACCCAGTAGGCATCATAGGCCGACTGAACTTGAAAAGTAAAGGCAATATGAAAAGAAGGAATAACACAAACCGAAGTCAAGAACTAAAATCTAACTAACAAGGGTATGCACACGAGTGTACAAAGAACTAACTAAAGTAATTTATAAGCTAACTACACCTAACTGGGCCCCCATAAGCCCAGAAGGTACACTCGTGCGCAAGTTAAATAAAAACCCGAACGGACCCCCATAAGCCCGACGAGTACACAAAATAACTATAACTAAAGAGAATTGCATAAAAGAACCCAAGAACGAAGGACACGAATCAGAACCTCAACCCTAATTAGTAAAATCTGACAGTACGGAGGCCAGACCTCTAACCGGATGCTCACCAGAAGTACCCAAGTAATCAATCACCAATATCAAGTATATGAGGCCGGAACTCTAACCGGATGCTCTATATAAGTATCTGGGAAATAGAGGCGGACCTTAAACCGGATGCTCTATATAAGTATCTGGGCGATAGAGGCCGGAACTTAAACCGGATGCTCTATAAAGGTGCCAATGTAGCTGCTGAAAGAGTCTTAATCGATCCACACTCAGAAATGTCCGTGGAACGCCGTCCATATTTAGCCAATCAATGTAAGTCTTTGGAACCAAATCGAAAATCAAATTCAAATCGCGAAGTAGAACTAGTGTCGCCGATGTAACTCGTGAAGCCGACATCAGGGAAAATAAGGATAACTATAGTCGGAGAAAGAGTATCGCCTAACTACAACAAAATAATAATATATATAATCGAACTACAAGAAACAACAAATATAGCAACATCAAAGACCAAGAAACTACTACGACTACTAGTATGGAAGAATAAGTGAGACAACTCTCAACTATCTATTAGCCTTACCCTAATTCGGGTCCTTCATAGCCTTCTATCTAATATCACATCCTCGATCAGCTGAAGGTACGTGCATATACACATGTTATTAAAATTTTGGATCCGCATCTGATGCATGCTTGTCTCTGTTCGGAAAAAGAATAACGGAGTGAAGAAGTCACGGCAAAAAAAAGAAGATGGTATGACAAAACATTATGAGAAAAGAACAATAACTACAATAAAATAATAATATATATAATCGAACTACAAGAAACAACAAATATAGCAACATAATTCATCAAGGACCAAGAAATTACTACGACTACTAGTATGGAAGGATAAGTGAGACAACTCTCAACTATCTACTAGCCTTACCCTAATCCGATTCCTTCATAGCCTTATAGCCTTCTATCTAAGATCACATCCTCGATCAGCTGAAGGTACACATATACACATGTTATTAAAATTTTGGATTCGCATCTAATGCATGCTTGTCTTTGTTGCTCCATTGAGGTCTCATTCTTGGAGAAGCTGTCACTACACTATTCTTCACACAACATGGTTTGGGCTTTATCCTCCATGGAATAAACATGTCAAGCCCACATGATACTGTTGCCTTAGGAGAAAAATTGCATGTTCTTCTTCCATTAATTTGCTCATCCTCTAGTAATTTCTTCCTATTATTTTCCAAGGCAGATGAAATAGCCAGTTCCTTTGCATCTTTAAGAAATCTTTGAATGATGAAATTTGGTACTGCTGGCTTATTGGTGCACCAATCATAACATTCCTCGTGAACAACCTCCTTATTCGATATTCTATATTCCGTCTCATCATTAATCATGTCGTCTATCGACTCATCCCCTAACGAAAAAACATCAAGAGCATCTGAGAATGCATCATGATTGTCAATATTCCTTATAACATCATGATCATCATTGTCGATATCGCCATCATAGACCTCATCGTATGATTTAGTAGTTGTAGTAGTACAACTTGTACCTAATAATTGATCTTTTGTTGTATGCCACATACATGGTGGCAATTTTGGAGGTGGTACAATTTCAATGTTTGTTGCTAACCTCATTTCCTTTGGTTTTCCAGGGCTTTGTTCCCAAGAAAATGGCACTCTATTAAAAATATCAATTGAAAGTTGATTTGGACAAGAAAATGATTTTTCACTAGAACGTCTAGTTGACAAAAGAGGAGCACTAAAATCTAATTTTCTTGTACATTTTTCTTTTCTCTCTTCTTCTACTTCTAGTTGTTTTTCCATGGATTTAGAGATATTGGATGTATAACATGAAATGGAGAAAATAAGAAAAGTTGAACACTTTGTGTGGTTATTTGTGTGAATTAGGTTTAAAAAGTTTAGTCATAATTATTAATAGTTGTAACTATGGGCTTCTCGTGGAGTTTGAGCTAAAAAAGTGTAACATTTATTTGGTCATGTCACAGGTTACTCAAGAGAAGAAACATTTTTATGCCACATGGCTTCTAAATGTACTTTTGTGCTAGTGCCAGAATATCTTGAAGTATGAATGATTATTTTGCATTAAAGGAAGATTTTTACTACAAAAAAATATATTTTTATGTAAAACAATAGTAGAATACTAGAATATTAACAAATGTTAAATTTTGAACCAATAATTTCAAAGGTTTAAATTGGTTGGATTTTGGAGGGGGAACGCATCAAATTTAATCTTGGATTCACTTATGACTTAGTATCCGACCCTAATCATAGAGCAATATTTCTATTTCTTTTTTTTAAGTATAAATTATAGGAACCACATATTATAAGTATTAAATAACATCCTATCCCTTCTAGTTTTTTATTTATCAAAAATCCCTTAAAAATGATGTTTGCAGGAAATATAGCGTTGTGCACGAGATACATTAGGTTTGATACATTCCACATAGCGGGATACATAGCGTTGTGCACGGAATACATTAGGTTTGATACATTCCACATAGCGGAATACATAGCGTTGTGCACGGGATACATTAGGTTTGATACATTCCACATAATGGGATACATAGCGTTGTGCACGGGATACATAGCGTTTGATACATTCCACATAGCGGGATACATAGCGTTGTGCACGGGATACATGCAGGATACTTAGGTAAATAAGGGATTTGAAATAAGTAGGGATAAATGAATATTAAGGTAAGTAAAGGAGTGTAGTTAAGTAATTTGTCTTTTTTTAATAGGCAGTAATTTCTTTTACAGTCGCCTAGAAATATTTGTAACCCTTTTTGTACTATTTGACCAAATAAAAAAAAACAATATAAATGCCATTGATTTAGAATCGATCTAATTATGTTTCTTCACTTTAATTTTCAAATTATCATTTGTATCATATTTTTTTATCAGATATATGTATATAGTGCATTCAGATTCATGTATCGCGGATACATGCAAGTCAAATAAGTTATAATTTATCCAAATACACGATATACAAGTGTGATTGCATGTATCTAGGATACATTAATTCTACCGCTCACCTCTCTCCTCTCTCCTCTCTCCTCTCTTGCTTGTCTCTCTCCCTGTGTATCTGAATTTCAGAATATATCTTTGATACATGTTGACTCTCTCTCGCTTGTCTCTGTCCTTATGTATTTGTTTTTCAGAATGTATCTGGTATCAAAAGATACATGTTAACTCTTTCACTCGCATGTATCTTTAATGCATGTATCTAACTTGAATTCTAAAAAAGTAGTTTAATTTATTTGACTCTAAAGAGTAGTGAATCTGACTAAAGATTTAATACAAAATAAATTATTTAGTGAGACATATAATTATTTCAAACTATAGAGTGAATTAATATTTATGATAGTAATGGTGGTGTAATTATGTGGTTTTTCCTTTTTTTTTTAAATCTTGCACCATCTTCCCAAAATTATCCTTTATTTTATTTCTAAATCTAATCATGACAAGTAGCTAGGTGGCTTGTTATAGCATTTATCTGCTTCATAAATCATACTAATAATTTAGAGTTAATACCTCAGATTGTCACTCAACTATGCACTTTTCTCTCAAAAAGTCACTCAACTTTCAATTTTCACTCAAAAGTCACTCAACTATGCACTTCTTTCTCAGAAAGTCACTCAACTTTGAACTTTAACTCAAAAGTCACTCAATTATCCACTCTTTCCTCAGAAAGTCACTCAATCTATTTAATTGTTTTTTAATTAAAATTTGTTGATATTAATTGTTTAAATTTAGGATTAAAGGCAAAATAAAATAGGTCATATTATATTTTTTAATGGGTCGGATTAGGTGGGTGGATCACTAAATGGTTTAAATGGTATTTTTTATTTTTTTTAAATTTTGATTTGTTATATGAACAATTAATATCAGCAAATTTTAATTAAAAAACAATAAAATAGATTGAGTGACTTTCTGAGGAAAGAGTGGATAGTTGAGTGACTTTTGAGTTAAAATTCAAAGTTGAGTTACTTTTGAGTGAAAATTGAAAGTTGAGTGACTTTCTGAGAAAAGAGTGCATAGTTGAGTGACCATATGAGGTATTAACTCTAATAATTTATTATCTTTTAGGTGACTTGTGTAATTAGAAGTTTAACTCATTCAAATTTATAGGCTGCATAGAAAGTGATCTTCGAAACATAAAAGCAACACAGAAACAAGACCATCTCATTTTTCATTTGAATCCTTTTCATATAATACAATGAAAATCAGAATTTTGATCCTCTCATGTGAGAATCCAAAAGAAAAAACATTCACATAAAGCTTGAGAGTGAATCTTGTGCATACTTTTAAAAAAGTGTAGAAGAAGTTAGAAAACACTCTCTCAGCACATAAATGAAGTGTCTCAACAAAGTTTGCAATGGGACAAAAACAAGTATCTGGAGAACTCTGCTCTACGAAATTCACAAATATTTCACTATGGTTGACCAAAAAAGTTATGTACATTTGATTTCTAATTTCTTGCTCTTTGTTGCTGCTATTGAGCATGCATAATGGCCAATGTGCAGATCTAGTTTGAATTTCTCTAAGTCATGAAAATTTTCGAGCGAGCTCCATACATGATTACGTATTGGCCCTGCGTGCACCATAAAAAACTTAGGCACCCACTTCCAAACAACAATTACCAAGAAGAAGCTCAATACACATCTTTTGCTCCTTTCACGTTTTTGGTTGTTCTTTAGCTCGTTGCTGTACTTTCTGATAGAGGTCAAGTGTGTCTGCATGGCTGGAGTCAAGACACAGCGCTGCCTCACAATCTCGAATTGCAGAAGTGAGGTCACCCATTGAGTCATGAAATGCTGCTCGAAGATGGAGCAGTTGTAAGTCTGGCTTGAAAGAAATGACTTTTGTTAGCTCTGCTATAGCCTCGGCTTCCTTGTGGTCATCCATCAGAACTGAACAGGCATTTTCCAGTATTACTTTCTCATTCAAAAACTTGTAGCATAGTATAGTACATTAATACACATTAAGATATGAGGTTTCTGCAGTAAGCGAAATACAAAGTGGGGGTGGGGTAGCCAGGCACAATGCATAGGGCTGCGCTTTTCCTAGAACAAAATATTTCATGTCATGTACTGATCCACGTTCAGTTAACACTACTCTAGCACTTCTAGGTCAGTTCACTCAGCTGAATGGCCTAGAGTTTGGGTGTTAGGAGACATTGTACAATCTAGGGGGGAAATAATGCTGAGAAGGAAAAAGAGGAACTGATTCCAAACTTCGTAACCTCAGACAAGTTAACCAGGGAACATGACAAACTTATTTTTTGAAATTGCATTTTCCATTCTTCTGTGAAGCTTGACCAGATCATGTTGCAGTCTTAAGGCCGATACAAAAATCTTAAAAATATATACATGCATAAAGGTCTAACTTGCTAAGAATGTCCTTGCACGTGTAAGATTAGATCAAGGTTTCACTCCCTTTCTACTCCTTAACAATAATTCTCCTAATATAAGAAGTATCTAACCTATCTAAACGCAAGCATGCACGAGTCAAAGGAGGCAATTCAAAATGACTCACCAATCACCCAAAATATTTCACCAATCAAACGATAGGTTTGTTCCAGAAATCAAATTCCCATATAGTGATGCCAAAAGAAGCAAAGGAAATTAAAAGGGACCGTTTTAAGACACTAGTCAGAGCAAAAGAGTCTAGGGACTGTAAACTCTAATAGCTCCACCAATGAGAAACTGACAGATGAATTTGATGTTGTGTCCTTGTGAAAATAACTACTCAGTTGAATTACAAGTTTAGGACTTCACAAGCACAAGTACAATTTTTACCCTTTTTTTAAATTAAGGGGAACAAATGAAGAGAGGTTTAGCTAAATTACTTTGCATAATTGTACCATTCTAGATCAGCTTAACTGCAGAGCCACTTTAATCCTGACTGTTGCTATGCAGTTTTACACTTCACATTCACATGACAGTAGTTTGCAAACAAAATCAAGCTATGAATGCTTGGATGCAACTGTGAGTCCTACAATTGGAAGACATTCTTTCCAAGAAAAAGTCTTCTTCCATATTGGTCTCAAGTTAGGACTGTGAAATACAAGTTGAAATGCCAAGATTCACTAACTTACTGGAATATTTTTTCGACTGTCACCACTTATATCCACTCTCTGGGCAGTGAGACTTGGTTGGACAAGAAAAGCTCATGTGAATCCAAAAGAACAGGCAGTGAGACTTGATTGGACAAGAAAAGATCATGTGAATCCAAAAGAACAATCAGATAATGCCCATTATAATCATCTAGAAGCTGTTGCTACTATAACCGATTTAAAGGTCAGTGTTCTATATTTTAAAAGTCCTTGGAAACTGCGGTTGTTTAACAAAAGTTGTGTAATATTGGGGTTTACGTGAAAACAAGTTTAGATTACCATTGGATGATCTTTCCGTAATTATAAACATGTTGAAGTACAGGACTCATGTGGGCTTTGGTGAAACCTCATTTTCACATATGCACTACCAACCTATAGCTTAAAGAAAGAGATTCTTACAATCAGCTGGCCAAAAGAATTTCCACTGCTACACGTAAGAAAGCAATCAGAAAACTACAGAACACAACGATTACTTGGTACGAAAATAAGCCAAGGGTAACTTACCAGCTGCCTTGTATCTGTATGGGTATGTTCGTAGGGGATCTAATTTTGTCGCCATACTAAGATCACTTTTTGCCATTTCACGATCACAGTATTCAGACCGCTTCTCATAAGCAGATGCATTAGATTTTGCTTTCTCAATCAACTTTGTCATCTCATCATAAGCTAATTTTCTTTGATCTTTTAGATGGTAAACACGTGCCAGACCCTGATGGGCTCGTGTATGCTTAATATTCAGTGCATTTGTATAGCAATCAATCGCATTATCTAGATTATCAACATCTACATAGACACTTGCCAGATTACTGAGAGCCTGCAGTGCAATGTAGTTTTCAAGTAAATCTTTTTGGTTCCTAGAATTCGTGAATTAGTTTCTGACTGAAAGGGACACTCACCTGGCCTTTCCGAAGACCATCTGAAGGGCACCTAAGAGCTTCCTCAAGCAGTTGTATGACATACAATGAAGATTCAGAGTCAGGACTTGTTTCTGATAACACATATGCTTTCAGGAAAAAGGCTTCAAACGATCTCTGGTTAGAGATAGACTCTTCAGCTTTAGCAATTGCTTCTTCACGATAACCTGTGTCATATAATATCCATCCTTCGTAGACTAGCCTTTCGTGCTCGGAGGTAGCTTGGTTTCTTGCTTCTCTCAAACTACGCATTGCTGCCTTGTGGCTATTTAATCTATAAAAAAGTGCACATCAGTCCCAAGGAGCGCAAAAAGAAAAAAACTCCATACACCTCCCAGATATTCACATTCAGCTTCTCAAGCATGAGAAATCAAGTTGTGTATGTAAGTTTTTGTTGTAAGCTAAGTGCACAGTGGACCAGAATATTTGTAGTTACAGTCAACTTTCATGAAACAAGGAGGGAAGCATCTAACTTTTACAATCATTCATCGATTTCCATATTCCCAGAGACAAAAATATCTCACGGGAAAAAAATTGATATATTAGAATTATATACTTAATCTAAAGTTATAAACCAGTAGAGCTTAAAATCCTTTATAGCGGCTGAAAGGAAACAGACAGCACATAAAGATGAATATACCGAACAATATGATTATTATAGTGAAACAAAATGTGTGCATACCGTAAAAGCAGGAGAGATTGCCTGAACCTTAAGAGACTCTTCCCTGGATCATTAGCTAACATATGGTGGACAACAGCTAGGGAGCCAATATCATCTACGGAGGACCATCGGTCATATAGTTGCATCCAGCAGTCAGCCTGACTGCACGGTTGAACATTATGACTTAGAAGCTCCACCAAGTGTTCACCTTGCAACTTCCCATGGAACATCATGTAATGGGGATCTAAAGTCAATAGTGCCCTAACATCCCTTAAAGCGCCTTCATATTCCTCCAGGACAATTAAAAACCAAGCACGAAGCTCAAGGCAGTCAGGAGAAATCTTGAAGCCAAGTACTTTGTTGATCTCAGAAATAGCTGGTCCAAGTCTATTTTCCTCCACCTTTGAAACCGCTCTGTACTTATATGGATAAGAAAGAGTTGGATCCAGTTCACTAGCTGTACTCAAATCCATCGTCTTTTCTTTTCCTTGACAATACATTGATCGCTCCTGATACATCCACCCAGAAGGTGTATAATCAGAGATGAGGGAGTCCATCAACTTATATGCCTTGTACATATGACCACGCTTGTATTTGGATCTGGCAATGCCTACTAAGGAATAAACATGACCAGCTTCAACAGCTGCCTCAAACCATTTCTGTGCATCCTTGTACTCTTTTCTTTCAAGCATCACACAACCTAATTGGTGGAATGCTAGTTGCTTCTGCCAGCCTTCACTTGCACATTCTCCCATCCTTTCCAACAGCATTACTGTTGTGTTTGATTTCAGGTCATCCTCCATAGCTGCTTGGCTCAGAAAATAGTAGAGCAGAAAGGAAGCATGTCCTACGTAAGATAATCGGTCCTTACCTTCTGAACTGCAGAAGAGTCTTGACACATTTGGATTATGCATTGAATTTGGAAGTTCCCTTAAACATACCTGCAAACATGCTGCCACTAGAAGATATGCATTCTCCTCCAGTCCATATTCAAAAAGCAACATAGCACTATCCATGTCAAAGACCAAAGATGCCAAATACGCATCACAAACAGACTTCATCTCATCACAACAGAACTTGTTGGCTAATGACAGGAGCTCTAGGACAATATCAGGGTTGAAAGAGTCCACACTTTTTGTTCTGCTAAACATCTCAGCAGCTTTCATCCCCTCTGCAGAAATCCCATTATTTGAAAATTTTATTTTCTCCCTTCGCGAGTCCATGAAGCTACCATAGAGCAGGACTTCAAATGGCCTAGAAAGTGATGCAATGTTAAATCTCCTACACCTGACTTCATCATCCCCAATACAAAATGACATGTCAAAATCCTCTTCCTCATTTCCACGACTCGATGAAGTGGAGCATTCTTCATCCATGTTAATTTCAGTATCCTTACCCCGGTGGCACATACAAGGATCAGTAGCTGATTCAGGATTATACCCCGTCACCAAAGCACTGCCAGGGCACTCCATGCTTCTCCCACAACAATCCATGGCCGATACACCAATCAACTCGTCCTCCCTTCGCTCAAACCTCAACCAGGCAGAAAGAACAACTTTGGTGTGCACATCAACAGCATGTAACCTAGCAGACAAAAGGCACTTCCTAAACAATTTAGGATCCGGTAATCCCCTAAATATAGCACATTGCTCAAGAAACATCTTTGACTTGCCAAACTGAGCACAACCCTCCATCCTACAATAAACATCAGCTAATGTCTCCACAAAATTCATAGGTTTCAAACAAAACTCAATCTGAGGCTCAAGTAGATCAGTTTTTGGCAGGCCATAACTAGCAAGGGCTTCAGCTAAAACACCCATATTAACCTCATCTTTCGATTGACTAGCTGGAAAATTACGATCCGATCTAGACCTAACAGGATTAGCCAACAAATTCTGTAAAAACTTCTCCCCTACACCACCACCACCACCAAACCCATTGGTGGTTGTTGTTGTACCAGACGGATTAAGGGCATAGACTTGGGTTCCCTTACACCCCTCCATCATATTCAAACTACGCATAGTTGAAAAAATGCTATGATGCATATTCCCTCAAATTCAAGAATACCCACCAAGATAAACATAAAAACAAACCTTATACATTAAAAAAGATACAATCTTTGACCTGCAAACACCAATCTTTATAAAGAAACAAATAAATACAAAACAATGGTGCTGCAGGCTATTTCAAAACGATTAACAAAAATGGGTATTTAATCTTGAAAAACCTCACCTTTCTGAGGGAAAAAAAGAATGGAAAAATGGAATCTTGGATGGGTTTTGTTTACCTGGAGAAGAGATAAAGATGGAAGAAGAGGTTTCGAGAGAGAAATTGTAAATTCCGTTAAAATTGGGGAACCGGTGAAAGAGGAGATGTTGTGTTGTATTTCAGCGCGCCATCTTTTCCGACAATACCTGTTTTATTCGACCCGTACCCGTTTCGCCTTGTCGGATGGATGACTTCATTTTTTATTGGATAAGGAAGAATCTTAATAGTCATAAAACAATCTTTTAATAGCATGCCTTTGATCATTTTTCATCGTGAAATTTTTTTAAAAATAGTATTCTCTCTAATTTATATTAGTACAATTTGTGAGGCGAGGTATACTTATTAAGAAAAATATTCAAGAATATAATTAAAATCATAATTTCTACTATTGTTCTTTTGTAAGTAGTGTAATTTATTTTCTAGAAATATAAAACCTCAACAAATGAAGGGAAAATTGAAAAAGATTTCAAACATCCATCTTGAACTTTAAGCAATTAAATTATTTTTAACAATGAAAAAGCCTAAAAAAATTTACTTAATACGAAATAGAGGGACTAATATTTACTTTTAAATTAAAAATGAGTTTTTGAAAATTAGAGTTGAATTTAGTTATGAATACAAATTAAATTGTTTTTTTTTTAACCTTTTTGAAGTAATTTGGAGTGAAAAAAATGAAAAGAGTTTTTTGTTGTTTTTTAAATTTTTTAAAATTCTTGAATTCAACTTATTTCAAATTTTAAAATTCGAAAAAAGGATGATTTTTTTTATTATCAAATGACTCTTTAAAATGTTCATCATTAATTCATTTTACAAAAATATTTGAATTACATACAAAGACTTATCATATTGTAAGCATTTGATTTTTGTTAATTAGTGGCATGAAGGTAAGAAAATTATATTTTAAAGTTTGATGAAATTTTTTAAATTCTAAAAAAGGAGTAAAGAGTAGACTTAATTTTTCAACTGCTTTTATGTTGAAATTTCAAAATCACTCATCAAAGTTACACACTAATGATTGAAATTAGGACATTTAATAAATAAATTAACTTTATGTTTAATGGAGTTGAAAAGGGTTGTTTTTGCATAGTTTATGGTTTTTTTTTATTTCCGCTTGGTGTTCGATATCCGTATTGAAGCTTGATTAAATTTAAATTCGCGCTGAAAAATCCCATATTAGGGGTAAAACGTTCCTAACAAAGGCGACTTCATACCTAAAGGGGCTCAAACCCGAAACCCCTTGATTAATTAGGTGTATAGTTTATTTTATGTGAAATAAAATATGAAATAAGAATACGTGTATTTTAGCTATTTATAAACAAGAATATTTAGGGATAAACATGTTCTAAAAGTACACAACTATTGCATGACAACACATATAATATTACGCTCAATTATATTATACCAATATTTACTTTATTTCCATTGGAATGAATTGATGGCCACATTATTATCATCTTCAGTTATAAGGCAAAAAAAATAAAAATCAGATTATTGATGCTACATTTTATTTTTGAGCAACTTTCACATAGCAAACATAAAAATCATATTTGTATGTTATAGCTATAGTTTATATAATTGCGCTCTATAGCAAATTTTATGTTTGTTATAGAGCTTTTGATTTGTATAATTCGCTAGAAACATCTAATTTTATGCAAATTGTTCAGTTTTGTATAAATTCATTTATGCATTGTAATTTGTATAATAAGATCTGTATTTGTATAATTATAAGTGTATAGGATGAAAATATATGTATTTGTATTTGTATATATACTTTTCTCTCGCTTTATACAAACACAAACGCATTTTATACCAAAATGTATAAAATGACTAATTGTATACCGAAAATGGCTAATTGTATACCGAATCAGATGGCAAAAAAAAGGATGATTATTGCGAATTACAATTAAAATAAACTATGTCTATAACATTTAATTTGAATTAATAATTTGCTATTTCATACAATTTTCCCTTTATTTAAAGCATCTACATGAATAAGTTGTGAAATAGTTTTAACTTAAGTAGTTTGTGAAATAAAGGATTCTCATTTCTCAAGTACGGAAAAGTGAAAAGACGGAGAAAATTTCATAAGTAGCTATGATTTAGAGTTTAATTATAAAATGTAGTTATAATTTATTTATTTATGAAATGTAGCTTAATATTATAATTATCATTTTTTCTTTGCGATCGCGATAAAGCACGGGCTCATGTGAGACATCTAAGATCACTGTGCTACAATAGCTTATTGTGTCAAGGGTGTCCAAAATATTTATTTAATCACTTTGTGTATTATTTTATTTGTATATACAATTTTTTTGGATAATTTGGATCCCCTGACAACCACGTAGCTTTCTCCCTCATCTGATATATTACAATTGTTATTTTAGAATACGAATCACATTCAAATTCCTCGATTCCCAATATGAATTCATCAAACAAGTTTTAGATGGATAATAAGACTTGTTCAAAGTCTCCAAATTCAAAATTATGTGCTACATCTCGAAATCAAGAACTAGCTATTATAATGTGAGTTACTATAAATATAAATCTATTAAAAGCCTTTTATAGATTTAATAGGCAAATGAACTTTATGATATTAAACTTAGAACTTAGAAGTTAGAAGCAATCCTTTGTTTCTATTTTCATCTTGGTAAACGGGTCAAATATATTTTTGAACTGATTTAAATGGGTTAGATTTATTCTCTCTTGCATTTTGTCTCAAAACTTTAGACTACAGGTACGTTTTTGGCTTGAAAATGTCCTCTAATTTGCAAAAAAGAGATTTTAAATACTATTTTCTCTTACTATTGATCAAAAACAAGGAAATAACTATCCAATTTTGCCCTTAATTTTGTCCTTCATTTAAAGTTCGGGACAAATGCACTTTTTTTTTTTTGGTAAATAATTTTTTATTAACCAAAGTGAAACATTACAAAACACAAAAAAAAAAAAAAAAAAAAAAAAAAAAACACAAGCAGTCTTGGACAAATAGCCCCAAGCTTACTTGCTAACTCTAGTAATCTTCCTATCCTCTAATAGTTCTATGGATATACATTTTAACTCTAGTACTCTACTACTCAACTTCCTTTGCTGGAATCCTCTACCATGTATTTCTCGTGTAATAAGCCTGATCAAAACTTATTTTAGAGATTATTAGATAATTTGACTATTCTAAATGACAATTATATATTCTATATAAAGTTTAATTATATGCATTAGTTTTTTAACTAAAGATTTATTATATTGTTTTCTTTCAAAACTATTATATCAATCCTCAGTTTAAACTTGTGATGACTTAAAGTTACAATAAATTATATAACATATGAATGCATAATTGATATCTAATTATCATATCATTCAATTATTAGAGTTAGTAAAATAAATTCATTATTATCAATGTAGAAAAATAAAAATTAAATAATTATGTGAAAAAAAGACACACGATATCATGTTTAGAAAGACAAACTCACACCTAATATACATAAAGGAATCGAAAGAAAGAAAAGTTATATGTCAACATACTTATTTGTTAAAATGAGAAATGCTTACACTACTTTTCTTAAATGTTATTATATGTCTTATCTCATTTAGCCCCCCACCCCCAACCTCCCCACTCCCCCAAAATAAGAATAAAAAGCATTGATCCATTTTTTCTTATTTTGAAGCAACCGTTAGAAACAAGGATATTTTTGAGCTATTTCGTTAATTGGAGGATATTTTTGAGCTAAAAACATAACAATAAAGACATTTTGATTCCAAAACATATCGGAGGATAAAATTAACTCATTTTAAATAGTTCATGAATATATTTAACCATTTTTCCCTTTCATCTATATATATAGTGCAATTAGAGATTTTATTTCTTAAATAGAAAATAGGGCTTAATAGCTTGAAAACATTAATGGAAGCATGTCGCTAGAAACTAGAAAGAAGCCATGACATTATGAGTACAATATACTTGACTTTAGGGTGTGTTTGGTTGGTATAAAGGAAAATGCTTTCTATGGAAAATGTTTTCTTGGAAAACAAGTGGATTTCTAACTTATTTTCTCATGTTTGATTGGTGAGCAGAAAATATTTTCTAGATTTTTTTTTAATGTTTGGTTGGTGAATGAAAAATATTTTCCAGAATATATTTTTTATTTTTGGTTTGAGACTAGAAAATATTCTTTAGTAAAATGATTTTTGATCCGGAAATCAACCCCTATAATTGATCTACGACTCGACTTTGACACCCGGACTAGGACAAGACCCCGATGACCGTTTCAAAATCCGACCCTAATATCTGACCCAGGACCTGACCCAAAAAAATATTGAAGGATGGTGTAGAGTTTTGAAAAATGTTTTTCTTAAGTTTTGAAGGAAAGTCATTTTCCTTAAATTTGAGGAAAATAAGTTGATTTGGAAAACATTTAAATCAACCAAACATGGAAAAATTGGAAAACATTTTCCTTCGTGCCAAACACACCCTTAATCTAAAAAAATATTCTACACTATGATTAATTTTTTATTGCAACTTGCAACTAATTTAGTTGAACACACATTTATAAATGAATGTCTAGCAAATTGTTAGCTCGTGGGTACCATCACTTGACATTGCCATGAATACCACTATTATTTTGTCACATTGACTTTGAAAGCTCTTAATTATTTAAATGATTATATTGAGATACCTAGTCCTAATTAGTTGGCATTTGGCAATGACATCCCTCATCTAGCTAAGAGTTAAGTTAAAAATACTACAGAAAAAAGAGCAAAGTTTATTGTATGAAAAAACTTG